AAGCCGGGTCGGGCTTAAAGTATTAAACCCAAGCCCGACCCTAAGCCGAGCCTGAACACAAACCCAGGCCCAAGCCCAGAATTTCCAGGCCAGGCCAGGCTGAAATAATCACCCCTAGGCCCAGCACATGTAGAGAGCTAACACTAAAATCAGCCTATGATTTGCTTAACATGAAAGGGGAAGAGAATGATCAAATAAAGATGATTCTAAGGAAGATCGAAAAATCAATTTTTTTCTATGGTTACTAACAAGGAACAAGCTACTTATTAAGGCTCGGTTTGGAAGGAGTACAAATACAAATATGTGCAATACAAATACATACAAAATAATACAAAATACAATATCTTACGCTCTATATATTTGTATTTGAATACAATATCTTACGCTCTATATATTTGTATTTGTACTCTTTCCAGATGGAGCCTAAAGAAAACCTTAAAAAAAAAAAGAGGATTTAATATAAACACAATTTGCAAAACGCGTGGAATGAAAGAGGATGAAAATCATATCCTTCTCAATTATTTGATTGCTGCTCATGCTTGGAGGATATCTGAAAACTTAGTCCCCACCCTAATTACAAAATAATTTTAAGGATTGTGGGATATGGTTATAAAGAGTGAAGTGGGCCAAACCATCGAAAATTAGTGAGAGAAGATTAGCTACATTCTATGGTACATATGGAAGGAGCGGAATGAAAAAAAAAGAAACAAATCAAAACAAAACTAAGTCCCGGGAGGTAGTTAGCAAAGATATCTGAAGCGGTAAAGAATATTGATGAGGGCAGATTTGGCCCTCCAGTGAAATTGCGACACATGGCACCTCGTGACAAATAGGCGACACCCATGCAACAACTTACTAGGTTGGTGTCCCACCCGGGCACCGGCATGGCCGGCCTGTGCAGCCTACGCGACCTGGCAATCCATAAGACGTGCCCACCGATAAACTCGACAGCTCTCATAGGCAGCTCGCCAGCTCTCCAAGGAGCTCGGCAACTCTCCAAGGAGCTCGCCAAGGAGCCCGTCACCAAGTAGCCACCAGGGAGCTCGTCGCCATGGGCAGCTCGCCACTTGCAGGGTAGCTCGGTACAGAAGAGCAGTTCGACATATCGCAGGAAGATCTCCTGCCTGACAACCGTACTTGACAGATCTGGTGGCAGCACCCACATCTCTTGCCAGGCGGCGGCGTGCCTGCCGTCTCTGAAAAGCATGGCACGCCTGACGAGTTCGTATCCAGTAGCAGCAGCAGCCTGCACCTGTCACCTCGGTCCTAGTAGTAATGGCTTGGGTAGTGGCGGTTACGCCTGATGTGACTGGGCACCACTATATAAGGACTCCGACCCCCAAAGCCAAAGGGGGAGAGAATGGAAAAAATGGAGATAATCCCTGCTCTCTAGCTCTTTCATTTCTCCAATATCGTCTTCAAGCTCTCTACAATAAGAGTGCTAACTTAAGCGTCGGAGAGTCCCCGCCGGGAAAATACCCCCAGGTCCTCTGATTTAGTTCTCGCAGGTCCCTCAGCTCCCGCCGCCTACAAAGAGGAGGAAAAGATGGAGTTCTCGCAGGTCCCTCAACTCCCACTGCCTACAAAGGAGAGAAGATTATCTCATGCAGAGGGCAGTCGGGTTGCGCTGCACCAGGGAGCTCCACCATTCTCTAAGTCACAGGCCGCCTAGGACCAGGTAGCTCACCACCAGGGAGCTCGTCACCAGGCAGCTCGCCACTAGGCAGCTCGCCACTAGGCAGCTCACCACTAGGTAGCTCGCCACTAGGTAGCTCACCACCAGGGAGCTCGCCACCAAGTAGCTCGCCACCAGGGAGTTCGTCTCCAAGTAGCTCGCCACCAGGGAGTTCGTCACCAAGTAGCTCACCACCAAGCAGTTCGTCACCAGGCACTTCACCACTAGGTCAAATGACGAGGTACTTAACCAAAAAAATTGATACATCACAAAAAATTGGTACATGACCAGAAACGGTTACTTCAAATATATCGGGCCCAAAAAGCTATGGGCCTTATGAAAGAAAAAGAGAAAGGAATCTTGTAGGTGAAATGGCTTCCCCCAAGCATGGGTGAAGTGAAGATAAAATTTAATTTTCGTGTTTTTCAGATGTCCTAAGTGAATTCAAATTGAATCAGGCAATATTTAAATCCAAACTCGATTGGAGAATTTAATACTCAAAACAGATACTGAAAATTAATATCCGAATTTGAATTCGATTAAATATTTGAGTAGTTAATTCGATTAATTAATTGTTTTAGATAATTAATAAATATATGAATTATTTATATAATATAATTATTATATATAAACTATATAAAATATTTTATATATTATATATAAGAATTAAATAATCGATTGGATTCAGATATTTATCAAATTGAATTAGGTCATATCCAAATTCAAATCTAATTAATTATTTGATATGAATAAAATATCCGAATTTAATTCAATTATATCGAATACCGAATTCAAAATTGGATTTTTGAATTCCATTGACACCCTTACCTAGGTGTTTGGTTTCCATGCTTTCGCTAATTGATTCTTTTGATTATCGAAAAAAAAAACTTGAATACGAGTACTTAAATTATTTTTTGCTTCTTGGCCTATTTTATTCTTGCTTCGTCAAAGAGGAGGTTGTTGGTGTTGCAGCATTGATCCTCCTCTTTCCTCTCAGTCCGTATATTAATTTCTTCTTCGTCGTCCTCATACTTATTGTTGAGAACTAAGTTATATTCTTTAGCTTGTTGACCACCTACATACATATGTAAAATTAGGGGTTGTTGACCACCTCGATTGGTTCTTTTGGTCATGGTTTTTGTAAGAACCCATATGTAGAATTAGGGGTTGTATTATATATTCTCGCATAAGGTGTGATTGGAAGATGTGGCCAGGTGTTTGATGGTGGTGCTGTGAAAGGGTTTGTACTTTGATGGTAGCGTTCTTTGAGGTCAACTTTCTCCAATACTTTGTTTAGTCCTTCCATGTTTTTCTACCTATAAAAGCAAACAAATTAGAAAAATAAGGGAACCTTCAGACCATAATAAGTGGTTATAGGTGAGCTGCATTAGGTTAGGATTGATCTCAACCCAATATAAACCGAGCTATTGAACCTCCAACCCAAACTCTAATCCAATCTAAGGTTGTTCTCGCGTTGGTCCAACTTCTCTATTTCATTTTTTCAAATGTTCTTATTTCCTATATTCAAGGGGATAAAGATATACTTATTTTGAGTTTCATGCAAATCATAAAAATTAAATTCAAATATCATATATCATATATGATTAATACTTGTTTAAACATGTGCATAGCCATTTCTCTCTCTCTCTCTCTCTCTCTCTCATCTTTTTTACCTTTTCTTCTCCTCTCTCACTCTTCCTTCTCCTCCCCATCCCACCTAGGGATGGCAATTTTCTCCATCCCCGACTTCCCCAACCCGATGGGATCGGGGATGGGGATTGAGGTCCCCGCCCCACCCCAACCTCGATTATGTATGTATATGTATATATATATATTTAATTAAATTTAATTTTCAAATAAATATTGTTATCTAAAAAATTTTGGGAATTTGAGTCCCCACGGGGAATCCATCCCATCAGGGATTGGGGATGAAGGACAAATTTTATCCCCAATGGGGATCAAAGACGGGGATGGAGGTTAATTTCATAATCAGAGTCGGGAACGGGGAATATGATCCCACCCCAAACCCGCCCCGCTGCCATTACTAATCCCACCCCACCATTAGAGGGTCTAAGTAACTACTGATGCGGTCTTGCCATTGGGGTGGGGATGATGGTTCTAAATTACAAGTATGTTTGTGCTCCATTGATTTGTTATACTTATTCCTAAAATTTATTCTCTAATGCCATGCGATCTAATATGGGCGAGCCCATGAAATCAATGACAATATGACATTGATTAGGTGCTTGTTTGGGAGGGTTTTCATGGGGTGCCTTTTGACTTTGTAAGTCCATAAGGTGTTTGGTTGCAATGTAAATGCAAATATGTATACTGCATATTTATCATTTTTTCGATTCATGAATGCAAATAAGATTCAAATTTTAAACCGTTTTTGCACTCATATTATTTGTTTGAAATCAGTGCTAGTGTATGCCTCTATTATTAAATGCTCCAATTACCTTATACTCCAATGTCTTAACTTTGTTTAAAATAGTTAATTATCAAAAAAATATAAAATTATATCTAAAAAATAAGTATAATAATACGTAAAAAAATGTCAGAAAATACATTTTTGATATTTGATATGATAATCATTAATTTTTTATGTCAAACAAAGGTGAATGACAGTACATAAATACCCTAATTGAATGACAGTACATAAATACCCTAATTCAATGTTTGTATTACAAACAAACAGAACCTAAATAAAAATCCCAAAATCAATGCTTGGTGAAAAATCCGGGAAGCCCGAATTTTCATTCAGCCAAGAACTTTCCGGTAGAAAGTACTTCCTGCAGTTTAGTGAAAGCCTTCCCAGACGGTAGTTCATATGTTGCTGCTGCGATTCGTTGAAAGCCTTCCATTCTTAGTTCCTACTTCCTATACGGGAGTTCATATTCGGACTGTAGGCGGTGGATCCCCGGACCCCGGCGTCCCAGTCCGATGACATTTAGAATAGGCAGTTCTCATCCCAATTCCCAACTCATGTCCATGGACCAGTTTTATTTTCTCGGGTAATATCCACGGGCGATTACTCGGACCTGTGGGGCCTGACGGACGGATGCCTATTATCGTGCAGCGAGACCGGGTTTTTTCATGAGAAGAAGAAATACTCTATTTTAGTCAGCAAAAAAAAATATATAATAATAATGCAACGCTAATACAAGTAAGGAAGAGTTTGCGCTGGATTTAATAAGAGGTGTAATTGGGTGATTAGGGTAGTGTGGGCCACAGACTTAATGAAGGAGATCAATCACCAACGTGTCTAACTGGACGGAGAGAGAGGATAGTTTCTATAGATGTGATAGGTGTAGGAGAGTTGCAGATGAGTTCATCCCCGAAGAGGAAAAGAAGCACATGAGAGAGAGAGAGAGACAGCGCGCGCGGAAGCAACAGCGAAGGGGGAGGGGGTTATAAAAAGGATCGAGTAACGGACGGTGCAGATAAGCAAAGTGGGAGCTCATACTCTCATCTCGGTCGTTTCCTTTCTCCTCTCTTCTCCAGCGTCCGATCTCCTCTTTGAGGGAAAAAAATCCACCGATTCTTCTTCGACGCGCGCCAAATACAAATCTCTCATTCCTTCCTCTCAGGTGAGTTTTTCCTTTTAGTCCTCTCCATCTCCCTCCACGTCTCTCTCTCCCTCTCTCCCTCTCTCCCTCTCTCTCTTTCTCTCTCTCTCTCGTCCGCTATGGCCATGGCAGAACTAGGGTTTCCGTACTTTCAAGAGCTAGGGTTTCCGGTTCTATTGATCTCCTTCTACAACGCTCGCTCTGTTAACCTAGGGTTTCGACGGTCATGGCCGACGCTCCGGCGAGTCCAGGCGGTGGGAGCCACGAGAGCGGCGAGCAGAGCCCTCGCTCGAATGTTCGGGAGCAGGACAGGTACCTTCCGATCGCGAATGTCAGCCGGATCATGAAGAAGGCGCTTCCAGCTAACGGCAAGATCGCCAAGGATGCCAAGGAAACTGTGCAGGAATGTGTGTCAGAGTTCATCAGTTTTATCACTAGCGAGTACGGCATCGTCTTCCTGTGATTGATTTGGACAATTAGGGTTTCCTTCTTTTAACCTAGTGTTCGAATCGCTGGTGTAGGGCAAGTGATAAATGCCAGAGGGAGAAGAGAAAGACGATTAATGGTGATGATCTGCTTTGGGCAATGGCAACGTTAGGGTTCGAAGACTATATTGATCCGCTCAAGGTGTACCTGAATAGGTACAGAGAGGTAAGTCTTGTCTCCATCCGAGTCTCTCAACCTTAGCCCCTTCTATACGTATTGATAATCTGACAAGCTTATACTGATCATTTTTTATCTTCTCCTTGGTCGACTCTTCGGTTCGAACACGATGTTGCAGATGGAGGTATTTGTTATTTTAGGCCGATCTTTAGTCTCTATTCATTTATTAAGTTTGCTTCATTAGCTTCTTCAAATCGTTTTGCTTTTTTTTTTTTTTTTTGAAAAATTATGGCTTTTGGCAGGGTGATACCAAAGGATCTGCAAAGAGTGTAGATAAAAAAGATGGAGTTGGAATTCAGCAGGTTTCAAATCCCCAGGTAATAGATTCTCCATTTAGCCCTGCGTCGCAGCATTTACAGAATAATTTGGTAAGCACAAGCTAAAAATCACATTCATTCTGTGTCTGCGAATTAATTTTACAGATTACTCATCAGGGATCTTATACGCAAGGCGTGAACTATATGAATTCTCAAGTAATATTTCTCTCTCAATATTTTTACAAGTTTATATGCAATGCACTGATCCTTCTTGTTTCTGCTATATTCCACACTGTAGATAGGAGAGCACAAGCATTTGCATATTTGACCCTTTTTTGGTCAATCATACATTGCAGGACGTTATTCATGTTATTTTTGTATTTTTTTATTTGGCATTGGAGCACTTTTTTTTTCTAATGTTGCGTTTGGTAAGAGTGTGAATGCAAATTAGCAAATATGCACGATTGTGAAAAATGGAACTTGGTTTGATTTTGCGTTGGTAAATTTTGCATTCTTACCAAGTGTATTTGATCATATGGGTGTAAACACAAATATTCAGACGAATCTACCATTTTACATAGACCAACTTTGAGTGCAAAAGTTTGCTTCTATATGGCTAAAAAAATGTTAGAAAAAACATATTTACTTTCATTTTCAGTACAAAAATGTATTCTTACCGAACACCTGCAAAATTGAACTGGAAAATCCATTTTGATTCAGCATTTGCACACTTGCCAAATGCAATCTAATGTGGAAACATGGTTAGTTCATTCATAAAAAAACATGGTTAGTTACTCATGGTCTCATGGCCATGTTCTTAGCCCATTTAGTTTTTATTAGGGTTAGTCTCTGACACTTAGAATCTACGTAATCTCTTCCAGTGGCCCCTTTTTTTGTGGGTTTTATCTGTTGGTATTTTTATTACATTCTTTTTACATGCTGTTTTTCGTGACCTAGCTGCCTCTTGGTGATATTTCTATAATATAAACTATTTTCCCTTTCTCTGATAGAGAATATCCACATTTTAAATATGTTTGTGACAATGCACCCATAGAATGCTCAAAGGTGCCTTCTCTTGGTACTTCTCTAGGATCTCTCAGTGTTTTGCTTTCTTTTCTTTTGGTGCTATGTGAGTAATGAAGTGATAAATCCTAGAAAAATTTAGCCAAAGTTGCAGCTATAGTTTTTTGTTTTTCATTATTCACAGAACGTTGTGATAGTAGATGTTCTTAATTAAAATTAATTATTTTTTCAAGAAAATATTGTAAACTACAACTGTGTATACGAGGACTGAATGAGAGAAATAAAACGATATGGCCTAATCATGTGGAAATATTTTGTTAACAGTGTAACTGAAAAAAACGTCATCTAACTATAGCATGGATTTTTCTGTGCTTAAGCCACCCACATAGTTTGTGAACAAAATGCATGCTATTTTTAGGTGACTTTTAAATGGCAAACGTAATGCTTAAGCATGCTTTACAAATTTAAAGAAAATAGCAACAATAACAAGCTATAAAATGTATGTTTAATTATCTATTTTATGTTTTGTTTTAATGATAGATGTGGTACTTTATAATCATTTATGGGAGGACATGTGTGATATTGCATCTAATTTGTGAGTGTAGTGATGCTTAATTGGTTGAGGGGGATTCCAAGGTGTGGTGGGGGATGGGTTCAGGATGAGGTCCATGAGGGTATGCGCCCTTGGATATATAAGAATTTTTTGAAGGGAGTTAAAAGAGTTAAAAAGAAGCAGGGTTGTTGGTGTGCATTGGGTGTAGAGGTCAGCTAGTGGTTTGGTTGATGGGTTAGCCAAACAAGGGGTGGAATGAGGGAGCCTATTTTAGGGGCATGGGAGAACAATTTAATGTACTTTTCTTTTGATCTGGGCATCTCAAACTCTGGATGTAGCTATTTTAATTTTTGTTTATGCTTAATAAAATTGTTAGTTGCTTAGAAAGACATGTGTTGATGCTTAATTTGACTTGATTAATAGATGGTTGTTACCTCTCCCTTATAATACTGTCTAGTGTTCAATTCCTTATTTTGTTAATCACAAAGGCTTTAAATTTGTTTTTCGATAAATGAAGAATTTATTAATGGAATAAAATACTGTTACAGAAACACTTGGAGAGGTACTACCTGCAACCTCTCCAACCCATCAAGAACTAAAAAGGGATTACAATCCAGCCCAATACAGATTCTCCCTATTTGCCCCTTGCTTGGCTAAACAATACAGCAAAGGCTTTAAATCCTTATCTAGCCTAACTTTTTTTTGTTTTTGTTTTTTTATTGGTAACCATAAAGCTTTATTAGATTTAAAATGAATGAGGTATGTACATTATGCCATGCATCCTTAACTGTGAATAACTTGCCCAAAGCATCTGCCAAACTATTTGTTGATGTTTGCACTTTGCACCCAAAGGAGGGTGGAGTCCAACTCCAATGCCAATTGTCTTATCTCTCTCATTATGTGTTTGTTCTGTCATAACCCTTGGGCTGGCTAATCTCTTTCATCCACCCTATAACTACCTCTGAATTCCCTTCCCTTGCTACATTTTTACAGTATAGAGACTTCCCACTCTTAGTTCTTGGAATGCTGCTAGCAGTTCTGCGTTTATGGAGTCTCCATAGTTGGCTGACCTAAGAGTACATTGCAAATATATTTTCATTTGTCTATTGATCAAAAAATTATTTCCATTTTCTATAAGCTCTACCTAGACCTGATGGTCCTGGGTTTCTAATGCATCAAAATTTAATTCTACTGATTATTCCCTAGTGGATTGCTAATTCCAATGCACTTGAGCTCTAACCCTTTCATTTGCCGTGTTGACCATCATTTATTAGGAGTGCAACTTTGGCTCAGGTTGGTTTTGAAATTTGTTGAACTTTCGATGGGCTTGAACCCTAACCTGAGCCCAATGTAGTTGAAATTCTTCAATGTGGGCAACTCAAATTGCAACTCAAGATGCCATCTATAGAAAATAGGTAACTATACCCAATCTACTGTTTTAACTCCATTTCTTTCTTCCTGTACAACCCATAGTATTGTTGCCCTGGTGCATTTCCACAATATATTTCCTCTCCTCAGAAAAGCGAAAAATGGACAAGGAACCTGCTAGATTATTTGGGGGATCTATCTACATGCAAACAAAATGAGAGAAAACATCCATTCATAGAGAGAGAGGGCATCCCAGCCTAACTTTTTTATGATTGCAAAACAAAGGCCAAACTAAATGCTAAAGTTCATCCTTTTTATTGCTTTATTGTATTCTAATATGAATTTATTTGAGATTGCATCAATATCTGAAATTTAGAGTATGAGGATCCATGATCTTGGGAATTTGACAAAAGTTTTAGTGCTGGCTGCCAATCTGATGCAACCTTTCTTTTATCCGGTCTTGGGATCAACAGTGTAAGACAAGCTTACACTGGTAGAGTGAAATTTCGACTATATCTTTTTATCTTTAATTTTTCCATCTAGTAATTGCGTTGAATAGAGAGGCCTCACTGCATTGACAACAATGTCGTATATTTTTACCTTTGTTATAGTGTTTCCTTGGTGGTTGTAGCCAATAGAAAATTTCTGGATACCCGTCAATTTCCATGAGTAACACCAGAAAAGCTTGAAACTTTGGCTTTATTTTTGTATTTTTCATAATGGTATGATCTCCATACTTGCAAGTTCTTAGCTTATTCAATCCCTCTAGTCAGTCATCTGGCAAACGGTTTGTCTTGACATAGGTTGATTAACTGAAGTGGTTTTTCCTAGTACCAAAGAACAAAATATCAATACAATATGCCCTATATTGGTGGGCCCAAAACTAGGAATGGAAAATTTCCTCTTCTTTGATGGATACTCAGCCTCCTTGATGCGGTCGAGTTGGGTATGGAGATTTTTCTGTCAAGGACTGGGATTAATTCAGATACCCGACCAGGCTGGATGGGAATGGGGATTTAAATCCCTGCCCTGCCCTTACCCAACCCTGACTGTAATATTTTAAAATTATTATTTATACTTTAACATTTGAAAATGTATATACACATTAAATATTTTAAAATATCACTTGTGTATATGTTCTTAAATAGATTTATATTCATTTCAACTCAAATAGATAGCTAAGTGTTAAACCAATTTAGAGAAATTATTTTTTCTTTTTCATTTAATTTTTTGAATGCAAACTTTTAACTAAAAATAAAAAAGAATTTGGGTATTTGGGGTTTCAAAACTTTAGCGGGGGCTGTTAACCATCCCTCTATTGCTTATAAAATAAAAAAGAAATTAAAAAAACAAAGGGTATCGGTCATATAGATATGCACCAATACCCATTTTAGTGGTATTGGGAATATCTATATTTTGATGCTTGTTATGAACTCCTGCGTAGACTCATCAGATGCAACATACTTGGTGTAGGGGCGATTGGAGAAAAAATCAAACAATAGAGAAGTATTACCTTCTTAGGACTTGGGTTGAAGTAGTGATAAATGATTTAAGTGCTCATAATTTAATGATGGATGTCAGTGAACACAGTGGTGTGGTGAGTTAGGAGTCTTGTTGAAGGCCCTAATAGTTGTGAGTTGTGACATGGTCACGTGGTTTAGATAATTATGATGATGATGATGGTTGTATTGGTGTTTTTTAAATAGGAGAAACTATGATGCGGGAAAGATATCTTAAGTGTTTTCACCAGTTGATTGTTCAAAAGCTTTTCTGATGTCTTTCCGATAGCATAGGCTAGCCCTATGAAATTAAAAGGTCCTCATTATAATATTTGTTGTATCATGGTTGTAGTTTCCGTATGGTTGGGAAAATGCATGGATGATGTTGATGTTTTTTTTTACCTAGGCAGGATTCCATTTTTTTATGGTTTGGAATTTGGTGGTTTTTGCGCCATCTGTACAGTATTTTTCTGCCTAAAAGGCTCCTTGATGTGAAAGGATCGGAAAAGTTTTGCTTTTTTTTTTTTATTATTGAGAGGTTATAAAGCTAGAGTAACCAGATCATATTAATCGAGAAAAGCTCACCGCTTTTGCACTTTACTCTTTTTTCGCGGGGAGTTGATGGGGGTGCGGGGATAGCAGGTTTTTTTGTGCAGGGTTTCTTTATTAACATGTTGGCTGGCCTGCACATTCACCATTTTATGGCTCAAAGATACCGGTAACATGGGGCTAAAGTGGCTGTTTGATTGCGGTTGATTTGTTAGTGATCATATATGTAACTAATGGGGGATAGTTTGTGTCTTGGGTGACAATGGTTTATACTGTAGAATTAGGGACAGGAAAAGAGAAACTATTATCTGGATTAATAATGTATTATGCACAAAAAAAAAAAAAAACTCTATCAAGTTGAATAAGAAAGAAAGAATACAGTATGATATAGCATGTAGGAAGCAGTGGCACAATCTACATATTTTAGAATTATAGTCTGATCGCTTGTTAGCGTTACTGGTTTCTTTATTGTCACCAGAGATGATGGAATGAATTTCATGCATCTTTGAGATTTATTTGCGGGAGTCAAACTAAAGTGGAATCACATTAATAATGTTTTTGATGGAGTAATCAGCAATCGACAAATTCCAAAACAAGTAGTGTAGCAACCAAATAAAAAATTCAAGTAGCCCCAAGAATGATGATTTTTGTAATAAATCATGTATGTATTTTGGTCATGGTTGTTGAACCTATAAAATTGTTTGATGTTAGAAATTCTCAGGTATCACCACTATCAAACCAAACTAACAAGTCTTTACAAATAAGGGCAAATTAGTTTCTTCTGGTGAGTTCACGTCGGCACCCTACATGCACATCTCAGCGATCATTGGAAACATCACCCGTATTTGTCATTTGGAGATGTTCAAGTATACGGGAGGGATGTGCTGTGGGGCACGCCCGTTCTGTTGGGGCACTGATGCGAATTCTCTTCTGGTTTGGGTAGAGTTCAGTCGATGGCTCCCCTTTTATTCCCTACATATTAAATTTCCCATTTTTCCTATTTAGGCATAATATTTTGAGCTCATTTATTTTGGATATTGATGCTGATGTAGTTGCCTCCTGAAATGTTGCAGTCTCAAGGTCAACATCTTATGCTTCCCATGCAAGGGTCAGACTAGGCGCCATCTCCTATTTGACCACTTCCCTTGTTTCGAACTCCTTGGGAAGTATGTCAAGGAACATCTAATATATCCTTCTGGTCAGATCAATGCACCCCCTTGGGCGGTGTTGCTTTTCCTGTAGCGAGTAATTTACTCTTGAAGTCTGTATATTTGAGTGCTTTCTTTCAGTACACTAACCCTTCAAAGATCCTGGAGACGTGTGGAAGAATTATTTATGTGATTTTCTTCGTTGTTTATAGTGGATGGATGAAAAGCTATTATTCTGTTTCTTTCGTTAAAAACTTATTGCTTGTCAATTTTGTGTTTCTATCAGATATTCTTTGTCCTTGAATTTTTACAATATTCAGGATTGTTTGTCGTTTACCCATAGGTGCTTGTGTTCTATGTTGAACTTGGTTGTGGGTAGGTGAAACCTCTCTCCTTTCTCCTTTTCATTTTAGTGTAGCCAAAAGTAGCCATACGATATGTTTCATATTGGGTATATTGTATCGTATTTTTGGTTTCGATACATAAGTGTTTTGGGATTCATTAATTTCAATAAAAAAGGCTTAAAAAACATTTCCAAATATCAAGTTTTTTTTCAAAAAAAAAAGCGGTTGTTTTTTTTTCCGATATCCCCCTGCCGATACACGGGTGTATCGATACTTGGAACCATCTGTGAGACTTCAGACCAGACAATTCTGAGAAAAAATGTGGGCCCCTGAAACCGTCACTGGTTTTCATTAAAAAACAGTTGATCTGAAGCTTCGCCCCTGTCGTGGCTATGGTGTTAAACCTCTTATAGTTACAAAGGTAAAAATGTAAAATACTGTTGAACTAACGAGCGGAGAGTATATTCGTTACATCTGGCTTTCATTTTTAGCGTTTCGGGCAGTGGGTTCCCAATGGCTGATTTTGATTTACGAATGATCTATTGCTAGACTACAGATATCGGGAATATGATTTGGGTACAATGAAGGCTATACGGTAACTCCATTATATTGCATGTCAACTTCATCACCAATTTATGTCAGGATACTGCGTCACCTTTCATTCATCCAAGAAATGAGAGCATTCTTTAAAATATGCAGATAGTTTTATATCTGGGGTAGGTGCACATTCGGAATTGATGTTAATTTACCGGCGGGTATGAGTAAATAAATTGTGATTTTTGGATTTTCTAAATGTTTATAGTTTTACAGTGAAAATCAGAAAAAACTTCTGACACCTCATAAATCTAAAATTACATCCCTCCTAGTCTACTAGTAGCTGTTTCAGAGGTTCATGTGGATGGAGATAACCGATAATAGGAAAATTTGCAAATAATACTCTATTGGTAAAAAAACAAACAAGGAACTGCCTGGCGTAAATGGACGCACATTTTTTTGGTAATTCATGCACATTTACATCCTAAGGCTAACGACTAACGCAATGTATTACTGGAGCTACCAGAAGTTTCCAAATACAAGTATTTCATAGCTGATGTGGTTCACCATTTACCAATGCCGTTTTGTCCAAAATCTAGGTTGATATATTTTATGTTTATATGTGATTAACATCAGTAATTTCAAAATTATTATAGTTATTAAAGCGACATTCTCATAATCTCATCATTTATAATTTAATTTATTAATGATGTCAAATACCAAGATCTTATCCAATCCTATCCTTAAATTTGACAGCGTTTGTATGTTATACCTGAATCATTTAAAATAAGAAGTATCCATTTACTTGCTAATCATTATATGAAATGCTCCTATCGATGGGCACCATTTATTTCTAAGTACATAATCAATATGGGAGAGATCTGAGTACAAAATTCAACCACTCGTTGAAGAAGGAAAGAAGATGCAAGAATTACGTACTGAATCGGGGGCGGGGGGAATGATTAGAGGCCAGATTTAGATTTACATATTACGTAAATCACTTCTAATTGTGAGCAAAGAATAAAAAATTATTGGAAAATTTTTCAAGTGTTACTGATTGGTGTACTTTGTACAGTCGAACGGCCCTATCTCTTGATTGCTCTTTCGCTTAACCTGACAAAACCAGAAATTGAGCATTAGCAACAAAGGTATAATAGGTGGTCATGTAATACCTTCCCCCCCCCAAGAAAAAAAACTATCATTCGTGTATTGGTCAAATTGTTGCACTAACAAGTCCCTAAAAAAACAAGAACCATTCTGCTTAAATGTGTAAAAGCCAAATTCCTAACCCAGGGCCTTTCGCCCATAACAAGTGCCCAGTGCCACTGAAGGCACCGAAAAATCCAAAGAGCCTAAATCGTCTGTTGGTCATTTGAAAGGTTGTCCACTCATCAGCCTCCTTGAATTACTTACCATGAGTGCTTGGACCAGCTTAATTCCAAAGCGGGCAAGTCTCCACCAAAAGTGAAGTTATTATCATATGACAATAATTACACTTGATTTATTATTGATTTTTTTGGGGTGCATGTTCCAATATAAAATCAATTCATAGGCGAGAGCCTTGTCACATTGCCAGATAACAAGGCGATGGGTTCATTCTAAAATAATCCAGCATCTCACGATAACTCCCTAGGTTCCAGCAACCAACAATCATCTTTCACCAGAAACTATCAATCATGAAAGGCCATTACCAAATGCAGGTCACCAGGTATTTGGTATCTTGGCGGGCTAGACTGGGAACAGAGCTAGCCTTGGGAGGGGTATCCTAGCCTTTCACTAGTAGTGATCAATAACCTTTATAAAGAGTACAAATTTTATATTAAAACATAAAACATCAATATATTCATAAGAAGAAAAAAGCAAAAGAAAAAAGATACATTAAAAAATAAGATAACAGGTGGTGGAAAAGGAAGAAGAAGATGATGATGACGTTGATGGGAAAAAACCAAGGTTTAAAGTATCAACATGTATCATCCCGTATTAGTTAATACGTATTGTTTGGAGAGTTTTCCGATACAGTTCTAACTGGTTCAAGGGGTGGAAGAGCTTTAAACCGACCCCCCTGAACCGGTTTTGAAAAAACACATAAAAAAAAAAAAAGTTAAAAAAACACTATCAATATTGCCCGATATTTAGAACCTTGGAAAAAAACTTTAAATTCTTTAGTTATTGGTTTAGGTTTTGAAGTCTTCAAGGGTTGAAGACAGCATTGAACAACATGTGCCAATGAACCCTAACTAAAGTAGACACAAGCCAAACCAAGCTGAATATAGACTATTCAAGCTCAGCTCTACAGAAAAGCATTAGGCTTGAACTAGATTCGAACTAGAAATCGAGCTTGATAGTGACTAGTGAGCCAAGCCTAGTTCAGCACAAATCCAAACTCGAACACAATGCTTGTCCTACTTGTTTTACATTTAAATACCACTAAAAAATACATCACAATTGCCTCCTCTCATCAAACTAACAATAACTTGCTTAATTAACATTTAAACGTTATTTTTTTATTGTTTTATTTTATTTCTTATTATACATATTAAAATTTAAAAAATATAAAAATATATATGCCTCGACTAGGACTGCGAACCAAACTGAGCTTGGGTCGCGACCCAAGCTCAAATGGCTTGCAAATAGTTTGCTTCAATCTACCCCTTGCCCTAACATTAACAAATAAAAATAGTATATAAAACCACAAAAAATAAATTAGTATAATAATGCCTGCTTTATTGTTATAATCTCAAAGAGTATAATAGTTAAAGGCTGTTATGTGTCAATACAATAGTGTCTTTCACATTAAACTGTAAATAGTGACAAAGGAAAAGAAAAAGGGATATACCGGGGACCATGGATTCGGTTCCAGAAGAGGTTTTTCTGGTGGGGAGTTTTGAACTGCACCTCCTTTCCTAGTAAGGATATCCTGCCAAGATATTTATGCATGTCATGTCAGGAACTTCATTGAGCATAGCAACAATAACTAACTAAAGCAATTAATTTACCCACAAGATTCCACTTTTTCCTTAAAATGCATAAAGAATTTTCAAAACTATGATTGGCGCAATATAAATTATACTTGCAATATGCTGAAATAGCAGCTTGAACTGTACAAATGGTTGGGATTTTTTTTCTTATGGTTATTTGCAAATTGTTAACAATTGTTACTTCACATTTTGCATGAATTTGCAAAGAGCCCTTAACTGGAGAAAAAAAAATCATGGATGAACGAATAGGCTTGTTGGGAGTAACCAGATTGGATCATAACCTTCCAAAAGCCCTCCTTATCCAGTGCATACAAGACGATGAATAAAGATCCCAGTTAAGTAAATGGTGTTACACAATCAGCAAGAACATCTTTTTGGATATTTTGGACAAGTACTCAACAGATCATCAATCTATTATAAATAGCTGTATAAGGGTATTTATTTTTTAATAAAATTGATACCGTACCCAGCTGTCCTTGCCACATCCAAGTAACACAGTCTTGCCCTAGACTGCTTTTTTCTGATGAATAGGGAGTTGTATTGACAAACTTTCACCTTCACACAGTAAATATACACTGCTATTGATCGAGAAAAGCAGGCCTTAGAATTTGACGCTCTATTCATAGAAGAAATAACAAGTTACCTCTCCTGCAGCCTCAATAGCTGCTAACCATTCATCCGAGAATGGAACAGCATTCATCTGATACTTCAGTGTGAGTGAGTCCTCCTTTAGTTCCTCCATAGTTTTATTGCTGCCAAGAAAGACAATCAGGTGGTTTTTTATTTTCTATTCACGTATATGTATTCTTTTTAAATTTCAAAAGGTTAAGACCATGCTGGAACTTAAAATACTTACGGTGGCATCATTGCATCCTTAACTTTCGAGGTTAACATGCTATTCTCTATTTCGCAACAGGGTTTACCATCTGAAGTCTTATGTTGGCATCTACTCTCTATCCCATTCTCTACTCTGCCAAGAGGGCTATCCCTGTTTGACATGGTCTGAACTGAAGACACTTCAGCTACAACATCCATAGACTGAGCATCGCTGGTGGAACATGTGAACTGTGTATTTTCAGTCAAACAATTTCCATGCACCAGTGGAGTATCCAGATTGCAACCATCAGTGGCATGTCTGAACTGTAACTCATGAAAAATATCATGATTTTGAACTATTAAGTTACTACCGGACCCTGTATCCACCTCATTTGTGTTCTTGATCAGCTTATCTGACCCAGCTGTACCTTCATCCAGTTGCAATGGATAACTTAGTTGAGATGGAACATTCAGACCCTGAAACTCGTTTCCACTGGCATCTATAATTTGCAGATTAACAGCAGTAACATGTCCACACTCATTATCTTCCTGGTTTTCATTGAAGTAGCTGCCTTCTTCAAGCAAATTGCTATCACTCATCTGTGATCCCTGTTTATTATAATTAAAAACTCCAGTTGCTTCATCAGGGCCCGGATGTATCATCTCTACACGTTCAGTAGACTCTTCATTGACGTCATGACCCATTAGTAAGTTATCACTATGCACCATTGAAGCACCTGACTTGCAATTTTCCATGGCATCTCCCAATTTTGTCTCAGAGGCAAAATCTGGATCTGGAATCAATTGGGTGAAATCTTTGGACCCCAACTCTGTGTCTTCAGCTAGTTCCTCGACCATATTGTCTATGGCAGTATCACCTTCTTCCACTACAAGTGCAGAGCTCATACGAGGAATATGTGAAGTTTCTAAGACACTTCCACTGGAATTGTTGCTTTTTGGGCTGATGGCAATGGTGTTTTCAAGATCATTATCTTTTAAAGACTGACCCAGAGATCCAGGATGCATGAATGTTTTATTATCCTTCTGCAATCTTTGATTGTCCTTGCAAGGGCTATGGACAACTTCATCAGGCTTGGACCTTGGTAGACAAGCCTGTTTCCTAGAGTGTTCATCAACATTGTCAATAACTCTACATGACTGCGGTTGCAGTCTATTTATTTGGTATTGAAAGCTATAATTGGATGGAACTTCTGCTTTCATTTTCCGTGAATTCGTTAGTTCAAACTTTGATTCCGCATTTGGATGTGTGCTAGCAATCATACTAGATGAAATTGAGGAACAAAAAGTTCTGCTCAGGGCTTCCGTTGTGTCGGTCAATGCACAATAAGTGCCCAATTTAGGCGGTCTCCAAGGTTCCTGAAGAGGGTGGAGTCCACTGGTATGTTCTGAATTACTGAATTTCCTCAGATTAGTAATATTAAAGTCTGGAAGACCACAAGGCTGAGCATTCCTTGGAGACTGGACAGTATGAAAGGTAGATACTTTTGGCTGTAGAAATCAGTGTCAGAAAAGAACACGACAGTAAAGCTATTAAAATTTCATTTTCAACAGAATCAAAACAAATTCTGAGTAACTATGTCCCACTTGCACTGCATCTAACAAAAAGTTGACAAACTTGGCATGATACCTGACCAAAGAATCCCAGTGATGGTGAAGGCATCCGCAAACCTGAAGGTTTTGCTGGTTGAAGTTTTGCATGTTGAATACTGCCACTGATACATAGGGCATTTTGTTGAAGTGATGGTGAAGGTTTGCTAGAATCAGCATCGCCACTTGGTGTGTGCAAGTCAGCAGCTCGAAGGGCTGGCTCTGCAGTCACTTTTATGCTAGTGGAACTACCTTTGCTAACCGGTGGAGGCAGTGATACTGAAGGTTTGCTAGGATCAGCATCGCCACTTGGTGTGTGCATGCCAGCAGCTGGAAGGGCTGGCTCTGCAGTCACCTTTATGCTAGTGGAACTACCCTTGCTAACTGGTGGAGGCAGTGGATTGGTTGGTAAATGTGCCTTTGAAAGTGAATTGATCTATTTTAAAGGAAAATAGCATTGTCATATAAAGAACTCCGCAAGTCATTAAAAACATCTGAATTGATAATGATTAAGTAGAACTGCATAGTTCAAATATAAGCTTTCCTACTGAAGATTTCAAATAAATATCCAATTTCTTACCGAATTTTTCCCAGAACATTGCACAGAAGATTTCAAAGAAGAGGATGCAGAAGTGGAGGCGTTTTTTATATGATTTGAGGAACTTTTTGATCCAGCATTCCTTTCAGCATTGACCGCTAAGGAAAATAAGAAATAATAATTAAAATAAACAAATATGTTTCGTTTGAGTGAAGTGGTAAGTTCCTAAATTGCATCCAGAAAACAAGTAAGCATTTCTTATTGGGCCCCTTCAAGGACAGTAAAGTGCAGAAAGAAACCTGGTGTCCCATTCTGATTACACTTCGAGCGCTTAATACACAGATTAGCATTCTTAGAAGATGTTGAGACTGCAGCACTATCTGGCTTTGGATTATGAAACTTAGGCAGTTTTGATTCTTTTGTTGTTGTATTTCTGTTAGGAAGCTTTTTTTGAGTAGAATCGAGTTAAGATCTCCATTCAATTTCAAGACCAATTGATAATGAGAAACAAGGCAAAATCGGAAAGAATCACCTAAACCAGTAAATCAAATTTCACAAATAACATGGTAGAAAAGCAAATGATAAGGATATGATGAAACCGAAGGCCGTGGACAACCTCCAACGCGGGACACACTTCCGTTAAGACCTTTGGGTATCTTGGTCTTTCGTGATGCCTGGAGAGGATATGTAATAACAATTGATGGTCAATCAATGAGAGTACATTCAATTTGCAGGATACCTGGAATACCTATTGATTTAGTAAAGAAAAGGTAGAATATACTCAAGTTCAATAGACGCTAACCGAAGGTAATGGGAATGAATGTTCGTTTTCTGAAGTTTTGGACTTGGGCAATAAACCACCACTGAGCTTTTGATATTCTTGTGGATGCTTTGAAGGCGATTTTTTAAATAAATTCTCTTCAAGATCCTGCAAATCCGATGCATCACCACCTAAGTCGGAACAATCCGATAGTGATGTTCTTGTTTCTTCAGGAACACTAGACAAGGGCTCCAAACTATTTTTACAGTAAGACCCACTTAGCATTGACAATTCGACGGGATCCAGAACGCCTGACATAGAAAAACAGTAAATACATTTACTCGATAAGGAAATTGCGGTTGTTTTTATTTTTAATCCGCTTTATAAGTTAGATGTGAAAAGGAACAAATGGAAGTAGCCCAACAAAGGTATATCACGGCACCTTCTTCAGTGAAAAAAGCTGCATTCCAAGCCAAGCTCTTCCGCAAGTTGTACATCCCGCCCTTTTTTCTTCTCTTCATTTGCTGTGGCTCCTCAGTTAAGTTCGGCGCACCTGAACTGTTCCCATGAAGATTCTCTTTGTTTCCGATGTCTTCGGATGATGAACGGCAAGGTTCTTCTCTATCCTCATTGACCTCCAAAACTCCTGCATTTTATATAATACAAGTACAGAACACAAATCAAGGATGCAGTTGTTAGTTTGGGAAGAACAAACACAAAATTCTTCCAATCGTAAATCAGAATCAACTGATCAAGGATGGAGTGGTTAGTGTGGGGAGAACAAACACAAATTCTTCCAAGCATAAATTGGAACCAAGGATAAACACAAATCAATGATGAAGTGGTTAGTGTGGGAAGAACAAACACAAAAGCTCTCTCTATCCCCGTTTACCTCGAAAACCTCTTCAGAAGTCGGAACGCTGTAACTACATAGGAATTCTTCCAAGCATAAATTGGAACCACACGAAGAACAGATATAGAGCATGGAGTTGTTAATGTGGGAAGAGAAGAGAATGGAGAATCAAAAACCCTTACCAGTTGAAGGAATTCGAGAATGATTTGCAGAACGCTTAGATCCAAAGGGCATAAGAGGAGAACAAGAGAAATCAACGATTCCGACATCGGAACAATGCTTGTCGTCATTTTTGTCGTTGACGGAAGGTTGTAGCAGGGAATCGTCCTCGCCGCCGATTTCTATGAGCGAGAGACCGACTTCCATTTTTCTCCCTCTCTGCATCTCAAGTGTCTCAGATCTGAAGTGGAGGGTTTATTTTGAAAACATTAGAGAGCGCCAAAGCGGGAAAATGAACGTGACTTCGTGAAAGTGCACGTGACCGTAAATCTAATGGCATATGTAGCCCTACGGTGGGCCTCGTGCTTATTGTCGGATAAAAATATAAAATGTAAAATCTTTATTTTGAAGAGAGTTTTTTGTTTTTTTGGGGAAATTTTGGATCCACTTTGGTCCCCAAACTTTAAAATACGGTACTCAAACTTTTAAAGCATACTAATAGGGGTAGCCACGAATTGAGCTCTTTACGAGCTATTTGAACTCGGCTCGGTTCAAGCCCAATTTACAAGCTTGTTTATTAATTGAGTCGAGCTCGAGCCTAATAAAGCTTGGCTTGTGATGCCTACAAACCCGCTTGAATAGCTATATAATAATAATAATAATAAATAATATATAATAAAAATATTATATACACATATATATATGATTTTTATAAAACATTTTTCTCAAGTCGAGCTCGATCTTACGAGCTTTTGACTTGAGTCGAGCCCAAGCTCAAGGTTCTAGCTCAAACCGAGCTTGAATAGCTAACTATTCAGCTTGGCTTGACTCAAATCCACCCCTACATTACCAATCTAGTAGTAGTCATTAACCAATCCATCAATGTTAAAAGAGGTAAGGATTTGGGACTTTGTTTTTTATCAAAGTTTGGATGGTTGATAAGGAGAATTAGATGACACTCAAAAGGGCATTTATGTATTTTCAAATGCCACTTAACGGCTGGTCGCTTTTAAAATTTGGGAACCAAAGTACTAAGCCCAAAGTACATGATACTTATCGGGAATTTTCCATTTTTTTCAAGTCTAGGCGTAACTTTTTTTAAATAATTAAACTATTTGATTGGACAGAATTGGAATCCCATTCCTATTATTGATGAAATGATATTCTCTCCTTTGAGGAAATAGTCAATTCCCCTCCATTCAAAATAGAAATCTATTTTAATTGATTATGATTCTAATTCTCATTTGAACCAAAAAGGCGAAAGAATAGATTATTCCGATTCTAATTTTAATTTTAATTCCGATTCGAGCTGTGAATCAAATGAACCCTTTCTGATTTCATGTCCATGAGAATCATAAAAATATTAGGGATCCATATTGAGAGGTTATGAGTCCGATATATTTTATGATTAGTGTGGGGCGTTATAATCCAGTGCAACATGCACCGTCCCCATCCCAAGCTAGATCTATTCAACTTTTGAATGTTAAATTCAAACATGATATCAAATACACGTTAGTATCTCCTACCTATAGGCTACAACCTACAACTACCCACAGCCACACATCAAGTTGGGATGACTGACCAAACACTTCCGATTTGCATCAGGTTGTGTGCATCGGACGGTGGAAAATGGTCGTATCTCTTACACTCACTCTTACACTGTTGGGATGATCATGGGTAACCTCAGGTGTTTACAGGGTAGTAAGAGCATTGTAGGTTGCCTAGGCCCGATCCAATCTGCAGCCTGTGCCTGATAAATCATGTTGAAGCTCGGGCCCAGACTGGACATCGAGACTTACCTACATAATTTTGTTTGAATTTTAAAATTTGAATCTGAGTTTATATTCCAAATATCATGCATGTATATTGTATTATTTATATTAAACTTCTGGGTTTGGCCATTGGGGCCTTCAATTTTAGGGCCCAGGTTCGGCCCACATCATGGGCTGGGCTTGATGCAGGGCTAGGATTGAGCTTGAAAGAAAAACTTCTGCCTTAGGCCAGAAAATTTTGGTCTGAGCCACGCTGGGCAATGTGGGCCTGGGCAGAGTTGATCAACCTTACTACATTCTTATTCAGTGAGATCACATTGGCACCGGATAGAGGGCGCCCCAATGTCAACGGTATTGGAAATTTTGATTTTGAATTCGAGATTTGATATAATCGAATCAAATTCAATATTTAATTGAATTCAAATTTGGATATGATGTGATTCGCTTTAATAAATATCTGAATTCGGTCGACTATTTAATTTTTATATATAATGTATAAAATATTTAAATGTTTTATATAATTTATATATAATAATTAAAATATATAAATAATTTATATATTTATATAAATAAAATATTTATTTTATGTATTTATTGATTACCTAAAATAATTAATTGGTCGAATTTGAATCGAACCAAATATTCAAATATTAATTTTCAATATCCATCGGATTCGAATCAAATATTACCTTGTCTGATTCAGATTTGATCCATTTACGCCCCTAGCCCCACATGCACATCTAACCATGCATTGGAAACACCTCCGGTACTTATCATGGGGAGATGTTCCCAATACATGGGTGGGAAGTGTAGTAGGGCGTCAATCTGATTTTCTATTCAGTTTGGTTATGTTTAGTTCTATGGGCGTTTATTTGAAAAATGTATCACATCAGCGCCACTTAGGCATTGGTGTTTATTGTGCATGAAACCATTGTCTGGTTTCGATGTTTATTAAATAAACATTAAAAACATAAGCACTTGCATTTATATGCATGAGCCGTTGGGGAAACTTCGAGTTTTTGTTTCTCCCAATGACCCAGTGTTTATTGAAATACAATGTAGATTGATGCATTGTAAGCTGAGGTGGAATATAACTTTATAGGGTGTTACTTGAAATGCCCAACCAAACAACAAAAAACAATAAACGTTTGGAGTGACATTCTTCAATAAAACATTTAATTGAGAAACACCCCATCTATAAATGCCTACGTAACCAAAAACATACTTTGTGAGAGGTCTCCATTCACATTTGCATTCTCATGTGTAGGGGTGAGCATGGGTCAGTTTGGTTTTACTCCATGACAAAACATGGAACCTATCCTATAGGTGTTGACTATGGTTTTTCCAAACTATAGTCTATGTAATCAAGATTTGTTCTAAGGTTGATTGTAGTATCTACTTGTGGAACCTATTCCTTTTAAAATGAATAATAATATGCTAATTTTCCCCTTTTGGGATTACAATCTATCATAACCATTCCACATTTTAAATCCATACAGTCATTCAATTCAAACAAAATAAAACATAACTCAGATTCATATACATTCCACAATTTAGTTAAATGCAAACCTTTTTTTTCTGAACCATAAACCATAAAGGCAGAATTCATTCAACAATGCATAGATTACAAAACCAGGTAATATAAAACAGCAAGAGAAAGGAAAAATAAAACACTAACAACAAATTAAACTAGCTATTAATAAATAATCATGGACACCAAGAGAGTAATAGCTCATACCAATTGATGGTGGCTTAATTGGTAGGTTTTCTAACTCATCAAGTAAAGACCTGGGATCAAATCACAAATCCTGCAGCCACCAATAGGGGTAAAGCTAGAGGTGGGGGGGGGGGGGCACTCCCAAATGGCCAAAAAATTCCCACTCAAATTTCACTCTTTCATGTGTATTCCCCTTCCCCCATCTCCTCAATCCATTTTAGGTTTTGGCCCCTTCATAAAAAAATTATGGTAGGGGGGTGGGGTTAAGAGAGGGAGATGGGCTACCCCCACTGTCTAGCCCCATGGAAAAGAAAAGAGACTAATAGCTCATGAAACATCTACAAGTGACACAAAAATCATGAAATGACAAAAAGAAGGACAAGATGCATCCAACAAATAGGGATATAAAATGGTATTTGAAAATTCAACTTCGAATTCAAGGTTTGATATAATCGAATTGGATTCGGATCATTCGAATATCTAATCGGTCGAATTTAGATATTCTATTCATATTGAATAGTTAATCGGATTTGAATCTAGATATGACCTGATTCGATTCGATAAATATCTGAATTCAATTGATTATTTAATTCTTAAATATAATATATAAAATATTTAAATGTTTTATATAATTTATATATAAAATAACTAACTTATATAAATAATTTATATAAATAAAATATTTATTTTATATAATTATTAATTATTTAAATAATTAATTGGTCAAATTTGAATCGAATTGAATATTCAAATATTTAATCAAATTTGAATCTGAATATTAATTTTCAATATCCGTTGAATATCAGATTCAAATTCATATATTGCCTGATTTAATTCGATTCAAATTCAAATTCGATCCATTTACATCCCTACCAACAAATATCAATTTTGCAAGCATAAATACCTCAATAAAAATTTGGGAGAAATAAAATAGCTAAGACAAACTCCATATCTCAATGCAAATAGAATATAATCCACAATCAATATAAATAATACATAATTCATCATTCAAACGCATACACCAAGTTCAAATTACGCTAAAAGCCAAATCTCGTAGCCAAGAAAAAGGAACAAATCTCATTGCCACTAACACAACCAATCACGAAATATTAGCCCATCATATTTGTAGCGACAAATGAAATAAAAGGATGGCGATTAAAAAAAATTAATTGAAGAGATTCTTAAAGATAGAGGTTGTAATTACCCATTAGATGCCAATCCAAAAAATTCAATTGAAGAGAAATTCTTAAAGATATAGATTGTAATTACTGGGGTTATCATTTTGATCTATCACTTCACTAAATGCCTCACTAATATATCCAATAAAGGCTGGTTATTGGAGTCAGATGGGTAAACCTCCAGACCTTAGAACCGGCTTGTATAGGGGTCGATTCCCAAAATTTGGACCGGACCTTACCCGAGACGAACCGACCTATTTGCTGACCATATGATAAACCCATGACCAGAATTGATGCCAGGTGATGGGTTGAATGGTTCAACCGCGTAATTGAAAACATAAGACAGGTGGTCTTAATTTCTGAAACATGAGATGTACATGCACCATAAGCAATGATGGAACCAGCAGCATAGGATAATTCTCCTTATCCATGTAAAGGTTTGTAAACTAAAAAGCGTATACCATTCAAAAAAAAAAAAAAAAAATCAAAACATCCCACACGCAAAAGGGTTGCCAAACAAGAGGACAGAGTATACTCAACGTAGTACAATCCAGGTCCACCAGAGCCAATAAATTAAAATAATATAGAAAGATCTCTCAAACTCTCAACTCTGTTTGGCTCAAAATAAGGTATACCGCCTTCTCTTCTTCTGCAGCTGCTAAATGGAGCAAACATGACTACAATAACAACGAACCCATTTCCAGTAAATCACCCTCTCACGTTTCATAGGGTTGCTCAACCAAGCCCTCCGACGCCCTTCAACTCCGCCAACTCCAAACATAATACCCACCCGCTTACAGCCTACACCTACAGCACCAAACACGCCGAGCCCAAGCTCTCCGCCACATCCCACGAGGACCAGCCACTCCTATTTCTTCTCCGTCAGCGAAAGACAGAGGAAGCATGGCTTACCTATTCTCAGTCCACCCGTCTCCCCGGCTCAACCTGCCTCAGCCGGCTGGTCTGCCAATTGTCCTACCAGAACACCAAAGAAGGCTTCACCAGGGCCCAAACCATCATCCAACGCCTCCGCGACGAGCGCCAGCTGCACCGTCTCGATGCCAATTCCCTCGGTCTCCTTGCCGTGTCTGCCGTCAAGGCTGGCCACACCCTTTACGCTACCTCCATTATTAAGTCTATGCTTCGCTCTGGTTATCTTCCCCATGTTAAGGCATGGAGCGCCGTCGTTAGTCGTCTCGCCGCGTCCGGTGATGATGGTCCTACCGAGGCTCTACGACTATTTAATTCCGTAATCCGGCGTGTCCGGCGTGTTGCCGACCCTGCCATAGCCGCTGATGCCCGGCCCGATACGGCTGCCTACAATGCCGTGCTTAATGCCTGTGCCAATCTCGGCAACACTGGGAAATTTTTGCAGTTGTTCGACGAAATGCCTGAATTCGATGTCAAGCCCGATGTGCTCACCTACAATATTATGATCAAGCTCTGTGCTAGAGCTGATCGCAAAGACTTACTTGTCTTTGTTTTGGATCGGATTCTTGATGAAGGGATTGATCCCTGCATGACCACTTTTCATTCACTTCTTGCAGCCTATGTTGGTTTTGGCGATTTGGAGACCGCAGAGAAAATGGTTCAGGCCATGAGAGAAGGTAGGAGGGATCTTTGTAGAATCCTCAAGGATTCGAATTGGGAGAATTCAGAGAACGCAGATGAAGTGTTTGTGAAATTGCTTCCTAGATCAAAGATATCGAGTGACCACGACCCACCTTTGTTGCCTAAAGAGTATGCTCCGGACTCTAGAATCTACACTACCTTGATGAAGGGGTACATGAAAGAAGGCCGTGTCAGTGACGTGGTGCAAATGCTTGAGGCGATGCGGCATCAAAGGGACAGCACCAGCCATCCTGACCATGTCACATACACCACTGTTGTCTCTACCCTTGTCAAAGCGGGTTCGATGGATCGAGCACGACAGGTACTTGCTGAGATGGCTCGAGTTGGGGTGCCTGCAAACCGTATCACTTACAACATCCTCCTCAAGGGATATTGCCAACAGCTCCAGTTAGAAAAGGCCAAGGAGCTGGTTCGAGAGATGGCTGATGATGCAAGTATTGAGCCTGATGTTGTTTCTTACAACATCTTAATTGATGGATGCATACTTATTGATGACAGTGCAGGTGCCCTTGCCTACTTCAACGAGATGCGAACACGGGGAATTGCTCCATCCAAAGTCAGTTACACAACTCTGATGAAAGCCTTCGCATTGACAGGTCAACCGAAGCTAGCTCATAAGGTGTTTGATGAGATGCTCAAAGATCCGAGAGTGAAAGTAGATCTTGTTGCATGGAATATGTTGGTTGAAGGATACTCTAGATTGGGATTGGTTGAAGAAGCGAAGAAGATCATTCAAAATATGAAAGAAAATGATTTTTACCCCGATGTCGCTACTTATGGCAGCCTTGCAAATGGGATTGCATTGGCTAGAAAGCCAGGAGAGGCTCTTTTGCTTTGGAATGAGGTAAAGGAGAGATGTGGACAGAAGAAGGTAGAAGACTCTTCTTCTTCTGCTCCACCATTGAAGCCTGACGAAGGGCTACTTGATACTCTGGCTGATATATGTGTGAGAGCTGCTTTCTTCAAGAAGGCTTTGGAGATTGTGGCTTGCATGGAAGAAAATGGGATACCACCAAATAAGACCAAATTCACAAAAATCTATGTGGAGATGCATTCAAGGATGTTCACGAGCAAGCATGCCTCAAAGGCTAGGCAGGACCGAAGGATGGAGAGGAAGAGGGCTGCAGAGGCTTTCAAGTTTTGGTTGGGACTCCCGAATTCTTATTATGGTAGTGAATGGCGGCTTGAACCGGATGATGGGGATGATTATTCCACGGATTCTTTTTAACTGTAAGAGATATTCTGGTGCTTTGTAATTAGGGAACTGGAGTACGAAGTTATGCCTATAATTTAATTCATGAATACAATAATGCAGAGCACATGAAAGATAGAAATGTAAATCCAAATCTGTTACTTCGATTTGATCTTATATATATTTCAATTGCACAGTTGAAAGAACTTATCTCAATTGGGAAAGTTGAAGGAACTTATATTTACAAAGAACTATTTCTGTGACTGAAACTTGGATTTCAACTGTAATATTATTATATACAAACGGGTTTCCTTAAGCTAGGATCCATGTGAAAACCTGCAAATCCCACCAGAAAAGGGAACCCCAAAAGGAATAGAATAAGAAACACAAGCACCACAACTATCTCAAGAACTTGGTTGAGTATGGATTTGGTATTTATGCCATCACTTTATGATACAAGAAATGATAGGGCTTGCTTTCATCCAACCTGGCAGAGGAAAAAGACGATCATATCTGGAAAAAAGGCGACTCTGTTTCTATTCTGCAGAACTTTAGCACCTTACCTTGATAATTGACTCCAAGAGTAAGATTCATGTCTGAGATTTTATGGGGTACCCTACCCACTTGAACAAGTTTTTCCCTTCTTTTTAATTGGAACTCACTGGAATAAGGTTGCATGAGCCCAAAAAGTAGTAAGGATATTTTTGTGAGTGCCGATGATATTAGGAAATGGAATGAGCCTAGTTAATCTGAAATATGAGATTGGATTTGAGTCAGACAATACATAAGTAAGTTTTGTGTGAAAGTAATGTCATTGTTTTCAGGGTTATCTACAAAACTAACCAAGATACTCGTCTATGAGTAATGTAAGGCAGATGATTTGGATTACAATTGAAGCAACAAGTGCAAGATATTGGTTTTAGACATTTGATGGACTACGGGTTTTCTTCCACATCTTATACAAAAATCTGTACAGCACCTGATATTCTCCTTGGCCTTTCTTCAAGTAGATAACCAACCTCCCCTGTTCAAGTTTTCAACAAACGTATCAATTTCTGCAACTCTTGGATCAATCCTATCTGCAAAACTGTATATTCCCGGTACACAATATCACATATCATTTAATTTCATTTCGAGGGGAAAAGGGATCTGGAATAAACAATAAGGCAGCGAGGCTGCTTACAGAAAAGCAACCCTTCTGTAGTTCTGACTTCTGATGCAACTCTGATTGCTTATTTGCTCGTAGAGGTTATTGGGAAATCGTTTTGCTTCTTTCCGTTCACTCACATTCCCACTCTGGCCAAAATCTACTATACCATGCTCCATCCACATAAGTATCATACAGAGATTCCTAAACGATTTCAACCACATCCTGCAAATATATATGAAACTACGCGATAGAGTGAAAAATAAGAAAATTTGATCCTGGGTTTTGAATGTTTTACTGGAGTAATGGCGGGTATGCCACCTGGCAAGCTTTCTGGGTCGATGTTAGAGCACTGCTTGGGAGTGTTAACACCATACATGCGACATGTGGCAAGCTACATGTGATTTGATTGAAAGAGAAAACTGGTGAGTGGTGAGAATCCTATAAATATCCCAAAAAAGAATAAAATCATCCAACCGTGGGCATGTGGCTTGAGTAGCCGAAGTACGAGTAATTTGGATTTTGGAATCAAAAGCTTGATACATAAGTCCCTCTAGATCTGGGGGGCCCCGATTCAGGATTCTCGTGACATGCGTCCGGACTCGGAGCACTTACAAACAGAGAACTCTGTCCTTCAGCGATACAAAGTTTCAATAGGTAGGTAGTTAGATCAGGTCCTGTTTGGAAGTTTGTAAATGAATGATGATAGCGATTCAGAAGCAGCTGTTCTCTCGAGTCTCGATCTGTCTACTCTAGAGTGAAATCGGAAGGGTGCATCGTGCATGGTATTGTGGGTGGAGTGGAATCCATTATGATAAGGCCAAGCTCTCTTCTGGTTGGTGTTTGTCTATGCGTTTGTTCTCTTGATTAGAAGCTGACCAGCAGATCCCGACGCTATAAAGGCAGCCCTTTTTCAAAATTTTCTTCTCCCTTCTTTCCTGTTATTCACTCTGAATGTATTCAATCCGCAAAGGATTTATACGTTGAAGTAGTGAAAAAAAATTATCCAAATGCAGATTGAATGCATGACTTTCTTGCTAGAGCGCACAAGTGTTTGTGACATATGTTTGGCATAAATCGTCCCTTCAATTACAACTTAATCGAAAACAGCCCAACTATCTAGAGAAGTTTGGCATGTGTTTATATTCTTTCTTTTATTCCCAATTAAGACCCCGTTTGGTTTGCAAGAGTAGGGGTCTGGAATCTGAATCGTATTCCAGTTCCAACTGTTTGATTGGATGGAGAGGGAATCCCATTTCCATTTTTGCTGGAATGACATTTCCCCATTTGAGAGAATGGCCATTCCCTGTCTTTCCTTTGGGAATGAAATCTTATTCCTGCTGATTTCAATTCCCATTTCTATTTTTATTGGAACCAAAGACTGAGAATAGATCATTCTGATTTTAGTTGCAAACCAAACAGGGCCTAAATTATCTTCTATTTCGTTCACCAAATATGTGAAATCAAAGACCCTCCCCTTATTTGGCATTATGGTAATCTTTTGGCACCTTAAGGCTTTGTTTGGTTTAAAAGAAAATGATAGGTAAAACTAATGCAAACCTTGTACAGATTTCCTTACCTTTTCCTTCAAACCAAACACAATCTAAGTAAAAACCATTAGATCGCACAGTTGCACTAAATCTGGCCATAGCTTCTTAATATTGTGAGTTTACTACTTCAGTGTTGTTCTAACAGCTTCCGTCACATCCTTATTCACTTGCCTAGACCTACAACTGGAGGACCCAAAGCACCACCCCAGTTCTCCAAAGTACTTTAATTTTTTCTTAATCCAGTTATGTTTGGTGGGTATTGAAGGTATAATACCCATAACCTTAATAGATATTTTTGTAACTCGCCCATCCAAGAAAGTGGTAAGTGTTCCCAGGTGAGGAAATTTTGAATTTTGTGGGCCATACATTTATCAATAAAAGAACAATGGAAATTTGATTTTCTCTCGACTTACCTATGAACAAAAGGAGGCCTTGTGTTTCAGTCCATTCCATTAATAGCTGTTATGCTTTGAAGCCTTATTACATACATACGAGGAATTTTAATCTCTTCATGATAAATATGGAGATATCCTTAATGTATGTCCTATGTTGAGAAATGCATGTGGGGCACACTCTATGGAGTGTTAATCTGATCTTCAAATTAGTTAAAACCATGAATCATCAGTTTATGGTCTTTGAGATTCGTTTGCTTTTCGATAAGTTATTTATTTGGGTAAATGCAATTATCTGGATAAGTTTTTTCAAGGAAACACTTACTCAGATAAGTACATTTACCCATGTTCTTTTGTTTTTCAGGTAAATAAGGAAATGACTATTTTATCCATATAAATCTATTATCAAAAGGTGCATTTTTGTCTCATTCAAGTATTGACAATTTTTCGCCTATGTGGAAAAGTTATTTACCCACTTAGGAGATGGGTAAAGTGAGGAGATAGGTAAAGTGATACCCAGCCCCAGGAAAATAAACTTTCCATGGTCTCCACATTAATTTGAAAAATGAATATATGATTCTTGGTCAATGGAAATCAAAATCCAATTGACCAACTTTCCCCATCTCTAAATCCAAAAAAAGAACACTCTATTGATGTGACTCCATCTTAAATTGGGTGAAATGACACAATATGAGATAATGCCACGGAGGGTAGCCCATCCCTCAACCCATAACCTTCCAATCCAGGTAGAGGCAAGGGATTTGATCCCAAGTCTTCTCTAAGAAGAATAAGAGACCTTACCAATCAGCTGATTGACATCTTGTGGATGGTATCAAAACGTATTTTGTCGACAAGTGATATGGACTCGGCTCTTTTTTGATAAAACGATGAGCTGGTTTTAAATCATTTGATGACGGGGGTATCGATGTATCGTGTACAAAACTTCATTTTTAACTTTTGCATGTCAGAAACATTAGAAGATATAATCTTGCGAGAGTGAGAGTTGATATTTGCTCCAGCTGATGTTCCAAGTAGTAGCTATCTGATTCTGACTATGGGCCCTGATTTCTGATGTTACAAACATGGGGCCCTAGCCTCTATACAAGTTGTGTTGTGTTGTGCTTGTGTCCACAGGCCCAGGACCTTGATTAAGGCATTTAGAAAACCAAGGCAAGAGATTGGGGGTTGGGACGGGGTGGCCGTGGCAGAACCCGTAAAACAATCTGGGCCTCTGGGGTGACTGGGTCCTCTATAATTCGTCATGTCTCCAATTTCTTGAGAATTGGAGCCTCCCAAGTCCCAATACTCCCGCAATGACCACAAGTTTTTTACTGTAAACTGTACGTAGGAAATGGTAATAACCCTACAACCAACATTAGTGGCTGGTCTGCCATCTATCATAAAAGAGATACCGTCCCAACCAGTTGGAAATTAACAAGACACTGTCAATGATATACAGAGGACACACGGGGCACATGCCACACTCAGCGCTGCATTCAGTCCAATGGGGGACCGACCGACTAGATCCAATTGCACCTGCAGGCTGCAGGTGAGCAACGGCAGGACTCAGGAGCTTCAATTTTACAGCTTACAGCAGATGATGACTTCAACCCAAAGCAATACAAGATAGATTTCTGATTTCATTACTCACCCATATCGCACTATGGCTTGCTGGTCTCAACTCTCAACTCTCAACTCTCAAAACTCAAAGGCTAGGTCGGCCCAAAAAGCCTTGGCAACATCATTATCAACTCAAAACAGGATAGCGTAGCACTAGCACGACCATCTTCCGAGTTCTGATCCCCCGACGTGGCCAAAGCCAATATGCCATCATTTCATGTTGACACAATGACACGAGTTTCGCTAACCTACACCCCAACAAGAGGCTCACCACTCACCCCACTTCGGCCTGGCTTCAGAGAGACTGAGGTATCGATACAAATGCCTATATTTAGTTTTTTGGGTGTTTATTGAAAAAATGTTACCACATCAGTATCATATATAGGTATTGGCGTTTATTTATTTATTTTTGTTGAAAATATGTAATATATATTTATAAACTGAAAGTTACATGAGGAGATAAGTATGAGTTGAAATGTAATTTAAATTGACCCTTACATGATAAGTAAGCAAATGTGTGGGTCAATTGATTATACTGCTTATGTACATGTTCAAAAGTGATAGAATTAAAAGTAGATGTTAAATGTTTAAGTTGGCTTATGTGTAGCTGATCAACCAATGACTTGATGTGCCAAACTTAGCCATATTTACCAAAGATTCATTATCAGAAAAGACCTTCATATGAGAAATGCCAAACACCTGGGCATCCTGTAAACCAACTAAGAGTGCTCTAACTTCAGCGTTGTGGCTGTTGATAGCCCAGCATGGTGTTCCTCTTGCGAAAACCAGGTAGTGATTGGAGTGGCTGATGTAGAACCCACATCCTGCATAGCCAAGATAATAATCAAAAGAGCCATTTACAAAAAGTGTATATGTATCCATGCCACTGAGAGCTCGGTTAGTTGTGTCAAGAAAGGTCTGTGCTGATGTTTCCTCGTACTGAAACTGGGACACAAGGCTGGCTTTTTGTTTTGGATCTGAATCCACCAATTCAAATAATTTTTTATTCCTAGCTTTCTAGATCTGATAGCTTAGGATGCTGAAGTGGGCTAAGCTATTTACAGCTTGCTGCTTACTGAAGTGAATAGTTAATTCACGGAATCACTCCTTAATGACCTGACGTATGGGTTTCATGGTCAAGGATTATGGATTTAACCTGATTTGAGCTTCGCACCAAACTGCCCTAGCGAAAGGGCATTGAAAGAAGAGGTGATGGGATGTCTCTACCTGGGACTTACAGAGAACACATAATTGGTCGCCTTCCCGCAACCAAGCATGATATTTATTTTTAGTTGGGATGCCTTCCCACACTAGCTTCCATAAGAATAGTTGGAATCTATATGAAATTTCGAGTTTCCATATTAGTTTCCACTCAAAA